CTGCGCCTCTGCATCCACTCCAATCGTAGAACAACAAAGTGAAAAAGAAGCGATAGCCCTAACCCTAATCATCTACTCTCGGTTTATCGGCTAAGATCGTTTTATCGATCGGGGACGCACACAATATTTCTACCTTAACCTTGTCAACAGAAGTCAGAAATTTGATTCTGAAGCTTATCTACGAGGTTGGTGCATTCAGCTCCTCTCTTTTCTTTCTATTTTGTCAGCGTTCTTTCCGGTGAATATGGTTAATCAATGAATAAATTTGTGCTTGTGATTTCTTGCATTGCTCGTTCCATTCATTCACGAGATTGATTATTGGGATTTGTTTTGTTCAACTAAAGTATGTTTAGCAATTTCTGGTGAGCATTGAATTTTTGGTGAAATCTAGAGTTGTCGCTGAGCACTGACCTAGATCGCAACTCCTGGAATACCACTAAGTTTCTTGATCATTTAGAAAATTTTCAAGATATACAATATAAACAAAGACGATGAGAAATTTAATTAAGGTAGAAGAAAGGACTTGAATAAAAGGGGTTTAAAGTTTGCATCAATTAGGCTAGTGTTCCTGAGTTTAGGGACCTAAAAGAAAAAAAAAAAAGGAAAAAGGGGAAGGGGAAGAATAAGAAGAAAGAGAGAGAAGATGGCCAGATTAAAATTTTAGAATCCTATACAATGGCAAGTTGTAAACATTCTCCCCTTCTCTTATTTCATGTAAACGGTAGCCACTACCTGCCCTAAACGCAGCCTTCTCTGCTCTCCTCTTTCATTATCAAGTCTTCCTCAAATCGGTAAGCATCCTTTGATTTTCTTGTAGTTTCTCTCGAATTCTTGCAATTCTATCTTTTAGCTTCAATTCGAACACAATTTGATTTAAAAATAAATTTAAGAAAAATCTGTTCACCATACGGAATTGAGAGGATTTGGATGCTCACGGGTGGGTTCCTCTTTCCTTGGTCGATCATTTTTAATTTATTTTCAGAACTCCATCCCCTGCTGTCCGTGTGTTGAAGAAGGAGTAGGCTATGCTTTTTACTCCTTTGCTCTGGTTAGTCCGTGGGGTGCTCTGTTTTTCTTTGCTGTTGGTTATGGTTATAGCTTTCTTTTTATACCCTTCGAATAATACCTTACAAAATTCTGGTATGAATAGCCTTATTAGTTTAAATTTTTAGCATAAGATTTTGGTGTATTTGTAGTGTTGAAGATAAAGATAGGCATAGTGCTGCTATAAAAACTGGAGATCATTTGGGAACTTGCATTTCGACTATTGCCATGTTTATTGTGTAGATAACATACGGCATTCCATTTGCTTTGGTATCCATATTCTCCAGAACTTCTGGTGCAGTTCATGGTAAAGTAGTAAATATGTGGGTTTGATTAGCTTACTAATGTTTAACTTCAATTGTTTTATCAAAGATTAATATTTTGGAAATTTTGAAGGTTGTCCAGTTGCTAAAGTTTTTACCCTAATAGATGTTGAGTGTAATCCCTTTAGTAATTAAAATTGCTAATGCTAATTTTTGCATTGGTTTTTCTAGCAGTCTTACAATATCACAACCTGGATGTCTGTTCTTTCATTTTTTTCTCGTCAAATCTATTATGTGTTCTACTGTTAGATTGTTTTTAATTTCATTCTCTTTGGTTCAGATTCAGCCATGGATGTTGATCACTATAGTGTCTTGGGCTTGCCATCAGGAGAGGAAGGGGCCAAACTGACTGAAAAAGAGATCTCCAAAGCTTACAAGCAAAAAGCTCTTGAACTCCATCCAGACAAGCGCCCTGATGATCCGAATGCTCATGAGAACTTTCAAAAGCTCAAGTCGTCTTATGAGATTTTGAAAGATGAGAAGGCCCGGAAACTTTTTGATGATCTTCTCCGTGTAAAGCGTGAGCAGCAACGGTTCAAGCGCGAGCAGCAACTCCGCCATGAACAACAAGATGCTAAACGCCGGAAAATGACGTCTGATCTTGAAGAAAGAGAGCGTGCTGCTTTTGCTCCAGACCCTACTGCTAAGGCTCGTGAGGAAGAGGAAAGAATATCAAGGAAGTTGAAGGAAGAGATAGCGAGAATACGTGCAATGCACATGAACAAAGGAGCAAGTGCAGATTCTGGTTTGAAGAAGGACAAGGGAGGAACAGAGAGAAATGTGGGAGGTGGTGTTGGGTTGGCAGATAAAGAAAAGATGTTGAAGGTTTCATGGGAGAAGGGTGGAGAGGATTATACGTCAGAGAGATTAAGGGAATTGTTTTCAAGATTTGGGAAGGTTGAGGATGTTGTCATAAAGAACTCCAAGAAGAGGGGATCTGCACTTGTTGTGATGGGTTCTAAGGAGGCAGCTGTAGGTTTCATTCTCTTCTTTGTGGTTTTGAACATGGTTCAGGTATTCTCAATGAGTGCTTATGTTGTTTTTCATTTTACTTTGTAGGTCGCTGCTACAGGGAGTTTAAGTGGGAGCCTTTCAAATCCACTGCTGGTCGTGCCTCTTCAACCGATAGTAGCAGCAGAGTTTTCCAGTGCTGAAAAAGCTGAGGAAGATAATCCTGTGAATAAGTTGGTTGGGGCTGGTTATCAGGCATATGAAGATGCTGTTTTGAAGAAACTCCAAATGGTATGGCAGTACAACCATTTGTTATTATTAGCCAAATGATTCATTCTATTTTTGATCTTATTCTTTTAACTTTTATCTCTACATCTTTCAATTTATCTTAAGACATTCTGTTTTTCCATCTCTATGAGTTGTGAATTAACTGAAAACATTATATCACGTCTATTACAAGTAGATTAATATTTCATGCCGTCCCTTTCAGTTTTCACCTTAGGCTTAGATTTTCATTTCTCTTCTATGTAACTGATGCCCTTTAGTTCTCTTGATGTACCACCGTAAGGATTTTGCTTTTAGTAATTTGTGTTCTTTCCATTTCTAACTTCATTATCTCTCGTATCTAATTCTGAACAGGCTGCAAAGAAACAGAAGTGATAACAAAAGCACTGCAGAGAAAGTGTTGCTTACGACACCATCTAGCTTTTGATCTTCATATTTCTTATACAAAGGTTCTTTAAGGAGAAACCATGGCTTCTATTGTAATTTTATATTTCTTATTATTTTTTAGTAGGGGAATTTAACATTGTTGTGTTCCAGAAAATTAGAAATATATATGGCAGTTACATCCACAGTTAGTGACCATGTCAGGATTTCATTTACCATTCAAAAGTTAGTTTAGATATCAGAGCAGCGGGATATCAAGTTTAAATGTCATAAAACTCAGTTTATGCTAACAAAAAACATCAGATGTTTAAAGTTTACGGCATTTTCTCCACAAATCCAGTGGGCTTTACAAACTGCTTTGTCTATAACTCTCCCTCAGAATCCTCAGCAGGTGGATTGACATCCTCAACTTCTGGAGTAACACAAGGCAACTCTTGTAATAAGCTTTGCTGTTCAGATGGGTCCTTCAGCCGTTGTAATTCACATAAGCATTTATGTAATGTTTCAAATCAATGAAGGTTAAGGTCCACTATCACTCGCAACAACTAATCCACATGAGGAAAACCAAAATTATGAGCAGATGTTTAAATTTTTCTTCCAATTAGTTTTAATAGTTAAGGCCTAATATGAGTAATTAACACATACTAAGTCTAGTAATCTGTGAAGTAAAGCACGAGAAAAAGGATATGTGACTCTCCGACCCTTTTCATTTGCATAATTGATGGCATTTTGTAATCTGATCAGTTCTCGTTCAATCCACTGCAAAATTTGCAAGCAGTTGTTTAGATTAATTAATCAATTAATCATCTGAATAAGACTGCCGAATAACTCATTTGAAAATCCTGTTGAGAGTTAGGAATACATTACGTACATCCTTTGTTATATCCTGATGCAAAATTCTTGCCTTCTGTTCGAGCTCCTCCTGTCAAAGTGTCAACAAATCCAATATTGTGAACTCCAGCTTCACATCATATGTAATGTAATTTCTATGACAGCATAATAATCCTGTGAATTAACTTACAACAGTGGGTTTTTTGAGCAGACCATCTTTCACTTTCTGACGCAAATCCGCACACAGTTCCTGCTTGACAATAACCCCAAGAAAGGAAAATACCATGACAATCTTTTACCAAGTCAGAACCAAACTCAAGACAAGCATATCTAGGTTTGTAAGAAATTTAGAATGATATATGACAGCATGGATATGTGAACATATATTTTTGTTTACCTCAGAGATGTCACCGTCAGACAGCGTGGATATGAGAACATCAGGTTCCATACCAGAAACTTGAAGGAAAACACCCCTATTCATCTCTACATCTTCAATTTTCTTTATGCCTGAAAGCGTATGTGGAGTTAAAAAAGAATCAAGATCAAAGACAAAGCAACAATGATATCATGCTTCCAGATATAATACAAATGAGGGATTAACAAAAGTTAACCAAAACAGATGAACCACTAATACCTGTAACCTGCAGAAGATGGTAAGATTTCCTCCCTGAACCATTTCCAGACTCCCTTTTGACTCCAATGAAACTTCCCACGACCTTGTCCTCAAAATTGTCAGACTGCTGCACTAGTAGCTTCTCTACTAAGCTCCTTCTTAAGTACACAAGTTTGATATTTTCAGGAACTATAGATGCCAAACAACCCTTCTGGAATTCAGTAAAGTACACCTTTTTCTGCTGGGGGATTCTATCTTTGTTTAATGTTTTTTGCTTCTTGCATCGTGCCATGACACGTTCACCTTTCTCCCTTGAACTGCTTCCTTTCACATTCTCATCTTCGCTATCTGATATTTCAAGCATCTCTTTTTTGGCACCGTTGTATTGCTCAATTTTCAATTGAGCACTACGCAAGTCATCAATTGCTAATCCTTCTTGCTCCATTATTATTTCTAGATACTCTTTGAACAAGAGTTCCTCTCTTTCTTCTTCATCTTCTGAATCAATCTCATCCGAGTTTGAGTCTGAGTCTGAATCTGAGTTGATCTTGTCATACACAGATAAAAAGCCATAAAGTCATAAACAAAGATGATAAACCTGAGCATTATATACAGGAGAAAGAGAAGAAGACATGCCATTAAAATTCCATCTCATTTTAAAAAAACCATCCTCTATGACACTATTATGAACTCCATCACATCAGGATCTCTATCATTCTTGTTTCTTTTTTCACTACTTAGCTTCCTTTTATTCTTCTACTTTTTAAAATCTAAGAATATCAGTAAATTTAGACAGTGTTAATGCCAATCATAAAGGGAGTGATATTGTCCTAGAAAAGGTAATATTTGACATACAATCCAACATGTAGATTTCAAAATAATAGCATACCACTATGCGGTCATCTTCTGTATTGTTTTCCACGCGTACAGCTAGTTCTAAGCACTTTTTGCACAACCCTTTCTTCTCCTTTAATGGAGCAAACTCAGAATCTTCAAAGCAGATTCCGCAAACAGCATAACAACAACACAGGCAATAATACTCAGAGGAGTCATCACAATTGGAACAAAAATGTCTACCTGAAACATCAAAATTGTGATTCAGCTAGTCACAACATAGATAATACATCCCATCAGGCAAAATCGAGTAGAGCAAAGAAAACTGTTGTTTTTATTCAATGGTAGAGCAGCGAGGAATGCTAAAACTTCATAGTATATATATATATATATCCTGTAAGAACCAAAACTTAACTGCAGATCCAGCTTTTGTTCTTCAAAGATGCTTTCTTCTTTCCCACACATCCAGGATGATAAGCTTTTAGACAACCCCTGAAATCAGTAAACATTAACAATGCCAAATCTTGAAATTATAAATTTTTTTCATATATATTTTAGGCTTCTCTCAAACATTACATTTTTCTAATTCTCGAAATCTGGCATGTGCAAGGACCACTTCAACAAATGCATTGAATCAAACCCACCTTAATTATCAATTTACCATTGTTAAAATTTTTCTAAAACTGTTAAACACAATCAATATTGAATATTAAAATCGAACAAAAGGTAATGACAAAATAAAAAAAAAAATGCTGACATTTATTTTAAAAAGTTGAAAAAAAAAAAACCTATATATTTGCGAAAAGCACTATGCATAGATAAAAGAAAGCAGGAAGAAAGGGGCATGGCTTTTGCCTCTCTGTAATGGATTAAACTGTGAAACTGTTAAAGGAGTTGTTTGTGTGCCCCAGAGGAGAGGAACAAATTCTGACAGAATTGGACATTGTCCAATTCAGACAGAGAACAACAGAACAAAACAAACATCATAACACCAGAATCTAAAAGCTTTCAATACTCACTGGCGATCACACATAATAAGTTTCCCGCCATCTTTGCACACAAAGCACCAATCTTCTGCATCATCTGCTTCTGCTTCTGCTTCAGTTTCATCTACCTTCCGCTTGGGTCTCCCTCTCCCCATTGTGGGTTTTTTTCTTGATCTCCTGCTAATTCTGTTAACCGGAAACCTAACAATGTGGGTCAAAAACAAAACAGAAGAGTTTTCCTCTAAATCAAACACGTGTTTTCAGACAGAATTCTGTTTGAAGAACAGTAGATTCATGTGAAGAAACTTGAGACTTGGGAGAAAACAGGGAAAGTAAAGCGAGAGAGAGAGAGAAAGACAATTACCCTCGGATACTAGGAAAGTAGCAGTACCTTCGGGTTTAGAATACAATGGAAGAACTTAAAAAGGCCGCCGTAATTAAGGAAACAGAGGAGTAGAGGCAATAAAGGAATCAACTTTTCTACGGGCATTCAATTCCATTAGTGCCCCTGTTTGGTCATGCCGGTTCTGTGTGTTTTTTTGGCTCAGACTTCTGGTGTGCGTGAGGTTAATCACGTAATTTAAAGAGGTGTATCCCCGTATATCTTTGAAACAGGCACAGGTCACGCCTGGTGAGCTGCTTAGACGTCACAGCCAATAAAAACATAGGCACGCGGATGCTTATTCATTTACCTTGCATTTTAGCAGCATCGAAGAACCCGTTTCAAAAACAAAAGCAACATTGAAGAACCTGTTCTCTTTTTACGAAAAAAGGAGGACCCTATTCTCTCTCACTGTCTGATTGGTCGCATATAGACAGAGTGGAACGGAGAATAAGTGTCACTTGCATCTCCATTGGGTCAAT